GACAGCTCCGCCACAACGAGAGCATTGTGCAGTACATCTACGCGAAGAATGCCATGCTCGAGCGAGCTCCCTGTGAGCTAGGAGCCAGCGAACGGATCTCCTTAATCCTACACGGAATCACTGAGGACAAGTGGGCCAATCCCCTGGCAGCCCAAGGCTGTAAATCGGTCCTCGAGCTGATTGACTGCGCGACGACTTTGGACCACCGCCGTCCCAGAGAAAAGACTCAACCACGCAAACAAGGCACGCACGAACATTCGACATCAACGCAGCAAACGACAGGCGCCCAGACCAGCACCTTGGCGAATGCCCCATCACCGAAACCCTTCAAACGCACGAGGCAGAGCAATTGTTTTAATTGCGACCAGCCCGGTCACTTCTCCAGGGACTGTCCAGAGCCGAAAACTGCAGCGACCATCCGTGCAGAGGAGAAACGCGCACAAAAGGGCGCGGGTCCAAAAGAGAAGAATGTCCACTGCTTCTTGCGCACGACAGGAGATTCTCTCCCCATCGTCACCGCCTTCACGGATAACCGTCCTTTGAGGGCGTGCATCGACACTGGAGCCAACGTATCGATCATCGATCCCAGGGCACTACCCCAGGACGCTTGCGTATCGTCGTGGTCCCGAGCAGAGGAATTTGTCAACGTTTTGGACAACAAGCTTACGCCTGACAAGTGCACGTCTCTGACGATCAGCGTTGGATCAACGACGGTCAAGGTACCGGAAATACTCATTCTTCCACTCCCGAAGTCAATTGACCTACTTCTCGGATCAGATTGGCGTCAACTCGCTAACGTGGAAGTCACGTTTCACGTTTCGAACGACATAACCATCGTTGAACTACCTAAACGTTACGATTCGCCCGCCGAGATTCCAAAGACGACAATCTCCGGAGAAGCTCTGGTGTCCAACTTTCACGAGAAACTGCCCCAAGCTGAACGCCTGGCCATGTTCGTGAAGTTCGAGCCAGCACGGAATGACATCGAAGCAGCCCTAATGCAACGAATCCACACGGCTGTGGACAGCATTACCGAAGACGCCTCGCCGGAAGAACGCGAAAGACTTTTTGGGATACTCACAAAACACCACGCTGCGTTTGCGACGGTGGAGGAACAACTGGGCACCTGCCCACACGCCGAGCATTCGATCGAGCTACGCGACGAGATCCCCGTGGCGTCGCGGCCCTATCGATGCTCCCCAGCCGACCGGGAATTCATCAAACGACAGATCGAAGACTATCGCGAGCGTGGAATTGTTCGCGAAAGCCAAAGCGAATATGCTGCACCGACGCTTGTGGTAAACCAGCCGAACCATCCCTCGACTCCCAGACGAATGGTTCACGACTACCGAAAATTGAACGCCAAAACAGTCAACCCGCCGTACCCCATGCCTCGAATGGACGACGCACTCGACGATGTAATGAGGGACGGCTCCCGTTACTTTACTGTTATGGACGTCAAGACCGCATTTCTCACCATCCGAGTGAAGCCGGAAGATGTTCACAAGACAGCCTTTGTCACTCCAGATGGCAAGTACGAGTATCTCCGCATGGCCTTCGGGTTCTGTAAAGCGCCCCAAACTATGCAAATGGTCATGCGAAGAACTGTCGAGGGACTTCCCCGAACAGCAACGTACATGGATGACGTTGGCCAAGGCGCAAAAACCGTAGCTGAGGCTCTGGAACTTCTAGACGAAGCCCTACGACGCATCGTTGTGAACGGACTCCGCATGGACATCGCGAAGTGCCAGTTCGTACGAACCAGCGTTCAATTTCTCGGGAATGTGATCACGGCGGAAGGCAGAACACCCGATCCTCAGCGTGTTTCTGCAGTCGACAAGTTTCAGCCCAAGAGGGATGCAAAGCATCTTTACTCATTCCTACAGTTCCTAAATCACTTCCGAAAGTTCATCCCGGACTTCGCAACACGATCATCACCGCTGCGTAAGCTATTGCTGAGGGACGCGAGCTTCGAGTGGTCTGACGAACATCAAAGGATCGCCGACGACCTGAAGCATTGTCTGAAGACTCCGCCGGTTCTGGCCACCTTTCGGAGTGAGTGCCCCAGCACGGTTCACGTGGACGCGAGCCAAACGGGCTTTGGAGCGATCCTGACGCAGAGACACGACTCGTGCGACAAGGTAATCGAATACGCAAGCAGATCTTTGAACGCGCACGACAGCACCTTGCACATTAACGTTCTCGAGTGCATGGCGCTACACTGGGCCATCACGGAAAAGTTCGCAATATACTTGCACGGAGGCCCACGATTTGCAGTCATTACGGACAGCATGTGCCTCACATACCTTGTTAAGAACGGCCTGACCAACCGAAGATTTGCACGATGGATCCTCGACCTCTCGGACTACGAGTTCGAAATTGTACACCGGCCGAGTAAATCAAACAAGGCGGACGCCCTCTCCCGTCAGTACGACCCGGAAGACTCCCAGACTGTTCTCACTTTCGCCGGAGCGACCAACCCCTCCCCCATCTGCTTGAATGCGCAAGTGAGCTCGAACAGTCGCCTGCGGGAACAGCAACAGATCGATCCGCTATGCCAACGACTAGCGTCACAGCCCGGAAACGACTACGGACGGTCGAATGGGATCTTATTAAAAATGGACGAAAAGTTCAAGAGAATCGTTGTGCCAGCCACACTTCGAGATTCTGTTATGAACATATGTCATGACTCGACTGGACACATGGACGTGGAGCGAACGACGGAACAAATCAAGAGGAACTACTGGTGGCCTCAGATGTCGCGAGACATTCGGGAGTACGTTCGATCGTGCAACACGTGCCAACGCGTGAACCAACGAACCACAACTCGAGAAGGCGCTCTGCAACCTCGCGCAGTCCCGGACTCTCCGAACATGACAGTCTCTCTCGACCATTTTGGACCACTGGAAGAAAGCAACGGTCAAAAGTATGTCCTCGTTTGCATCGATCACGCGACTCGCTACATTGACGCTGTCGCCGTGCCCTCTACAGCAGCACACTTCTACGTCGACTACCTCTTGAATCGTTGGATTCCGAGATTTGGCGTGCCCACGACAATCGTCACCGACCAGGCTAAAAGCTTCGTCAACAAACAGACTGCTGCTCTGTACAGACGACTTGGAATCACGCACGTGACCTCACCACCCTACTGGCCTCAGGCCAACGGTCTTGTCGAACGGATGGTAGGGACGCTGAAGAATATAATTCGAAAACTCATCGAACCTCACAAGAATTGGGAGAAGATTCTACCCGAGGCAGTTTTCTCTGTCAACGTTTCGCGACAGAGTTCGTCACGCTTCAGCCCCTTCGAACTCATGCACGGTTACGTCCCGAAACTTCCCGGACAGCTCAACATCGGAACAGTTGAGGCTGACCTAGACGAGACGACTAGACTCCACAAGTTGGCGAGACAGCGGCACGACGCGAAAAACAACTTGGAAAACTCTCAAGCTTCGGCCAAAAGCCGGTATGACGCAAGGAGCAAGACCCCGAGATTTAAAATCGGCGACTCCGTTTACTGCAGCATCGGAGCGAGGTCAAGCACGATGGACCCGTTCTTCGAGGGCCCGTTCGAGATCAAGTCCTTTCCAACCCCAAACACCGTGGTCATCAAAAGGCTGCAGTCCATAAAAGGACGACAAAACGAAAGAAAGGCAAACGTCGAGCAACTCCGCCGACACAATACACGCACACCAGCGGCGCCGGAGTTATCCGACACCTGCGTCGGCCGAGCGCTCTCCGGCGCAGATGAAAGCGATGAACGTGAAGACGAGGACGGATCCGAAGCCCCAACGCGCGATAAAGAAAACTACGGAGCACTCATCAACGTCGAGGATGACGCTGCAGGTCAGCAACTGTCAAGGACGCGCAGACCTCCGGCCTACCTTGCGGATTACGCGTTGGAGTGATTTGAGGACAAATCATATTTAAAGGAGGGCGTGTCAGCGTCAAGCGCCTTCCGCGCGGAGAGCCACCTTGCCTGCCAGACAGAGACCCAGACAGTCGACCAAAAGTTTCGTCCAGCCCGGGCTTTCCCATTGCACCTCCGTGGAGCCCCCAGAATCGGGCCCCCCGGTTTACGTGACCCGGGCGGGATTCCGAGGCGAGAGGAGCAAGGCGTCGGGTTACGTCTCACCGAGGAGAAGCCCCTTCGCAACAGAGACGACTCCGGGACGCCGTACGATACGGACGGGACGACCGCTCTTCCCTCCGACATAATTTGTAACCTTGTGTATCCGATTGAAATCCCAGTTAATAAGCGTCTGGTTAATTTTAAATCAACCCCAGTCTACGCCTTAAACTTACGATCATCTACGAACTCCCGAAAACCCAACGGATAACCTGACATGTTCACAAAATAGGTTAATGTTTTCGCAAAAAAATATCTCTATATTTGCAGATACTTTCTAACTACTTTTACAAAGAAAATATTTCAGTTGTGGTAACAGATACCTAAAAAACAAATGTGCCGAGTTACAGTCAAAAGTGAAAAAAGTAACAGACTGCAGTATTGCGTTGCTACCCAAGGCTAAATGCCAAACAACTGCTCTCCCCCTCCTCCCATCTTTTCCCAGAACCCTCCAGCGCCAGAAACCGACAGAAAAAAAAAGAAGAAAAAAAGAAAAGAAAACGCGTTTTCGAGTCCGAAGGTTAGCCGAAGAAACAAAACGTCGACCACGCCTCCGCCCAGCGCTCTTCGGCGGAGGCGTGACCCAGCGCTCTTCGGCTCCTAGGCTTCTTCGGAGAGTCGCATGTCACGAAACTTTTTGATTCTTGCGACGTTTCAGCGCCATCTAGGGGGAGAGGCGAACATGCAGCAGTGGCAAGCCTAGCCCTTAAGGTTTCTGAAAGCTTCCTTTGGTTCTCTGATCATATTCACAAACGTAACACGTGTTAATTCAAAATAAATTCAAAGTGGTCTTCAGCGTTTCTAATACACTTTGTTTTTTCTTTCTAGATAACGTCTTCAGTTTCACAATGTGGTATATAATGGCACTTACGATGAGTGACACAATGGGCCCCTGGTGGCCGGTCAGCACACGCTGGCAGTCTCCCGTTTTGATGTGCCAGGACCGTATGACACCATCGCCACCGCCCGTGAACAGGATGTTTCCGTCCGTGTCCACCACCATAGCGTTGATGGGAGCCGTGTGGCCCTTCAGTACCTACGTCGAGAGATGAAAGACGTGGCAAAGGGCGATAATGGCGAGAATCAATATTTTTATAACCCCGCGAAAGGTTCTTGACAACCAACGAGTGTAAGTATCGAGAAGTGATTGGAACGCGATCGAGCTGGTACTCGTTTATAGGGACCATGAAATTATTTTTCAACTTTTCACTCGTTAGCTTTCCTCTTCAACTCAAAAGCGAAATGAGAAATCACGTTGTCATGACGAAGTATCTCATCTCACTGGAACTCCCTAGTTTCGATCCTTCCTAAAGCGTATACTAACTATGGAAAGAAATCGACGTCATATTACGTTCCGGTTTACTCTATTATTTTTGTTTTTATTTATTTCACAATACTGCCCGCCTTCTTAAGGGTCAAAGCAGGAGTGGATAATACAAAACAAGGAGTGTACACTGCATTCTGTACATCGCGCACACACACTATAAAAAAGCCGGTGTTACAAATCCGCTTACAAAGGCGTGCCAAAGACACAAAAGTATATCGTTTCTCTTTTATTCAAACAACACACGTAGAGCTTTATCGAAATCAGAAATCGACTCGAGAGCAACAACACCACCTGGAAGTTTATTCCAAAAATCTATAGCCTGCACAAAAAATGATTGTTTAAATATATTTATACGGGCGTGGATGTGTTCGAGCACTTTCGGGTAATGCAAACGCTCTGAACGGTGGCTTTTAGGTATTACACATTTAGAGCTGTCAATTTTTAGAAGATAATTATAAATCTGAAAAAAAAAATTATTTCAGGCGTTGGCTTATTCTAATTTTTTTCAAGGGCTGCATGTCTGCCTGTTTTTTTAGCTCCGTTACAGACGTCGTAGTCCTGAAATCGGAAAATATTGTAAGCACCGCAAGCGATTGAACCCTTTCAAGCTCGGTAGAAAGCGTGGCCTGCCTGGGATCCCATACCTCGGGAGCATACTCCAGTGTTGGTCTTACAAGAGCTTTGTAGGCAGCAAGCTTAACCGAGAGAGGTGTCTTATACAGTTTCCTTCGTAAATACCACGACTTTTTAGTAGCCTTTTTTGTTACATAATCAACATACGTTTGTTCAATTTCAGACCGCTAGTGATAATCACACTCAAGCATTTATAGCTGTCAACTTTAGTAAGCCTGACAGAGTCAAGCTCGTAGTAAGTAAAATATATTTTTCTTATTCGTCAAGTGCATGTATTGCGTTTTCTGGGTGTTTACTATCATATTCTTTTCACTATACCATAACGAGATGCGATATAAAATATTATTTACTTCTATCTGATCGTTAACTGACGAAATGGGAGCATATAGAGTACAATCATCGGCAAAGATTCTTACTTTCACGCGCCCGTTACTGCAGATAGAAAACAAACTGTTGACATATATTAAGAAAAGCAAGGGACCCAACACGGAGCCCTGTGGAACCACTGAGTACACTTTCAACAATTCTGAAAAGGTGCCATTTACATCGACGAACTGCCGGCGATTACTGAGATATGCACTAATTCATCTTATAATCAATGAAGGAATACCGTAGTCAATTAAAATATTAATTAGTTTAAAATGTGGTACTCGATCGAACGCTTTAGATAGATCTATAAAAATGGCATTCACTTGCAGGCGATTATTAACATAACTAGAGACCTTATGATAGCGTTCAAGTAGTTGGGTTGTTGTTGAATACCCTTTCCAAAAACCATGCTGATTGGAACTTAGGATGCCTTTGTCCTCCATAAAAGAAACTAGCTGCTTATTCACAATATGCTCTAGGAGATTACATGACGTACAGGTAAAAAAAAAAAAAAGGGCGATAATGATAAACTGAATCACCTTTCCCACTCTTTTTCATGGGCACAACTCTTGCTAATAACCAATCCTCCGGTAAAACAGAGTCTCGGAGTGAAATTAAGAATATAATTGTTAAGTATTTCGCAACCCATTCAGCGTATCTATTTAGAAATTCATATGGTACAGAATATGGTCCTGGCGATTTTCTAGTATTGATTGATAACAATAAGAATACGATACCTTGTTCTGTTACAAAACCACTCACGTTAGACTCTTCATCCTTGGGTATACTGCTGAATTCAGTTGAATCTATCGTAAACACAGACTGATAATAGTGATTGAATTCAGACGACATTATGGCCCTGTCGTCCACAACGTTGTTATTAACGCGTAACTGACTCATGTTAGTGAGATAACGCCAAAACTTTTCAGGGGAGAATAAAAATGAATTCTGGCAATGACTTTGTAAAACAGGTTTCCTTGGCTAGCTTTGTCAATGTATTTAACTTGTCACTCGATCTGCTCACAGATAGCAGGAGAATGACGCTTTCGAAGCCTCTTTAGTTTACGTTTTTCCTGCAAAATATTTCTTGTAATCCATAGATTGTGCCATTTTGTCGTTTTAGTTTTCTTCGGTATAAAGTTTAGGATGCAGTGCTGAGTATTACTTTTAAAATTCAACCTTATTTCATTTACATTAGTGTGATCTTCAAACCCGTCTTGATGCTCTTCTAAATAATCAATAACAGACTCGTCATTTTCTTTTTCGCAGTCATAATGCTGCTTTACTTCGACTGAATCTTTTTGGCAAACATTCATATCGCACTTAAAAAACACCTATTTGTGATGAAATATTTCTTCATGAACAGTAACGCTACAATGATCCAAATGTTTGCTAACGAACAAGAGATCGAACAAGCTGCTTGATGTTCCAGTTATTCGCCTAGGTTCCTCGACAGTTTGACGAAGACACCGACCAAATGGAATGTCTTCGAGCACTTCAGATAGTTTAGTTCCTGGACAGGCCACGCCCTCATCCGACCAGCTTACCCCCCCCCCCCCCCCCCCCCCGTCGGGTGCATTGAAATCTCCTCCGATAACTATTCGACTACACTTGTTGGTATTAGCTAGAAAATATTCTAGGATATGTTTTAGATCATCGGTGGCGAGCCGGGTTTACTGTATACAGTTCCAAGTGTTAGCCATGGTAAAAAAAAAAAGAAACTTATTAACTCCAATCATTTTCGAAGTCTTCGATTGATTTCACAGAACGGTACACTATATTTTCTTTAACGGCTATAGCGACTCCCCCAACGCGAGAGCTCCTGTCCCTACAAGAAAACCTTCTTAACTTAAATTCAATAAAACGAGTAAAATACGAACTGAGACTGGTGCTCTAAATTGACACGTGATTCAAAACAACGTTTTTCTCTTGTTCTTTTAGCATGTGCAAGTTCTCTGCTTTTTCATGTTTAGTTGCATGCCAACAACGCATGCTTTGTTATCAGCGAGCAAGCAACCTGTTTGACGCCAGGTTCCGCAGGCAAGCATACTCATCCATGCTTTAGCGGGCCGGTACATGTACGATGTGAAAGATGTATTAAACTATTTGTTATTAATATTTTATTTAATATTTATTTCGGAATACTACTGGCTCCACTCAAGGAGCCATGGTAGGAGTGGGTACAAACATGTAAACACGATGCAGAATGATAAATGAAAACTCAATAAAATATAAATTCAACAGCAGATACAAAATTAACAGCAGTTGTGTTGACGACGACACCATTTGGTAACTCGTTCCATTCTTGAATCGCCCGAGGGAAAAACGAATATCTAAAGCAGTCGTTTTTGAGCCTGTATCGTTTGAACGCTCTTGTGTGGTTTAGAAGTGAGGACCCGGTCGATAACGGTTGTATATAGTTAGAGCTTTGAACATGAAGAGCGCCGTTAAGAATATTGAATAGTAATCTTATTCTATAAATTTTTGCTCTCATATCCAACGGCTGAAGCTTCGCTCTAATAACTAATTCAGGGGACGATGTTTCTCTACAATAATCATTAAAAATAAACCGAGCAGCTAACTTTTGGATACTTTCAAGCTTGTTAATACCATTTTGTGTGAAAGGGCACCAAACTGAACTAGCATATTCTAGCACAGGCATAACAAAACTTTTATAAGCAATAAGTTTAGTTTCAAAATCAGCAAATTCTAATTTCCTAAGGTACCCCAACAAAGTGCCCCTCGCTTTGTTAACCATTAACTCTAAGTGCAGGCTCCAGTTCAGTTTATTGTTAAAAAGATGTCCTAAATACTTGTACTCCTTGACCCGCTTTACTGGTTGTCCATCAAGTAAGTAACTAAATTGAACCGGCTCTTTTTTCAGGAGACTGTCACGACGGCTCTTTTCACATAATTTAGGTTCATTTGCCATTTTTAGTCCAACGCAGTATCTCATCCAAAGCTTCCTGCAGTGTCAAATTGTCGGCATGCCTTTTCATTGTTTTATATAAATTACAGTCGTCAGCGAACAATCTAAACCGGACATCAATATTGGTTGCAATGACATCAATGTAAATAAAAAACAAGTGACCTAAGTACGGAGCCCTGGGGCACTCCTAAAGTAACGGGCATTATTAAACTGAAAGTTCTCCCAGCCGTCAGAGGGTCGGCGAGGTTAGCCGTCCGTGTCTCTTGCGTCCAATGCAATCGTCTATAAATGCTAACTTCAGCGACAGCCCTTCCAGTCTTCTTGCCGTCGCGGGGACCTTCCACCACTTGCCAGTTTGACTAATTTTGCTTTCATCGGCGTAAGGAAGAGTAATGTCACTACCGTAGAAGTTTGGGCTAGTTGGGATTTCATGATTAAAGATTAAAATTAGAGCAAAGTTCGAAGAAGAACCAGAAGGTATACGAACAAGGCGCTGACTTACAAATGAAGTTTGTTCGTGCTAACATCGAGTATAAATACTGCAACGTCAAAACAAACACATCAAGAGAAAATACATGACAGGGACACCACGTGCTTCTTAAGCCACCGTACCACGCTGTTACTGTGCGTCTAAAAAGCATCGTTCTTTGTCGGGCAGAAATAGTGATAGAACCCTGACACAGTTTTCCCCTAATCTTCCAGTTTTCCGTGATTCAATAATTTATCGAGTGAGTTTATTTTTATACTTTCTAATCACCTCACACTTGTCGAAGACGTG